TCATTGGTTTTTCTTTAATAATCTAATATATTATACTTATATTAGTTTTTTATATATATCTATTTTAAAATTGTTTCTATTGCGGCACGCCCCCAATGGAAACCAGCATTTGTTGATTTAGGCTAGCGTGTGTGAATAAAGTTGACCTTACCTTACCTCATATATATTACATATATGACGGAAAGTGAGTGGACATGCCTKGGGTAGTAATGATGTAAAGAAAAGTGAAACTTCTTCAGTCATAAACGTTTTAATTTGTAGTTAGACGTTTCGCCGGTTAGGAATGGGTGTCGATTAACAATTGCCATTGTTTATATGACTCGATATGGAAATGGAGTTATGACGAGAAAAGGGCTCGCTCGATGTGCTAAGGTAAAAGCGTGACAATAATACAACCAATCAAATGGAGATTACTCTGCCTATGCAGTCATTCAAGACGTTGGGCGATTTTCGGATTTTCATAGCTTCTATCATTTTTTTCTCTCTCTGGCTTTTGATGTTAGCATGTAGCGTCTTCCACTGGATGTTTTGGCCTTATAGTAGATTCACATTGTGACTTTTGAGATGGTTATAGACCGTTATATATAGACAAATGAATGCCATGAACATCTGTGACCTTCTATCCGAATCTAATATAGAGGATATTACATGGGCGCGCGGAGATACGAAATTTATCTTCGAGTGTTGAAAAATGCAGCAGTTTTCACGATCCATTTCACTTCCTCTTTCTCTTTGCGACTAGATTGCATCAGATGTTTGGGAAGTCTTATTTACTAAAGATATTCGTTCTCATAAACGATATTTTTGGTGAGAATGTGACTATATATTTGGTTTAAAAATGAAAATGAAAATGAAAGTCACTTTTTGAGTTAGATCCTTGGCAACAGCTGCATGTGAGCCTGCAATGTCAGCGGATTATATTACCCAGCAGCTTTCACGATATATTTCACTTCCTCTTTCTCTTTCCGACTAGATTGCATCAGAATTTGGGAAGTCAATAGGTATTTTACTTGATAATTTACGGCGGTTAATCTAGGTTTTCTTCAGATTTTCAAGTTATCGAGGATACAGCTATCTCAGTAGCGACATGAAGCTATATACTGATAAAGGAAATCCGAATCTGCTTCGGATTTTCGCCGCTAAGAATTTGTCTGGAGTCAGGCTAGACGTG